CATTCATTATTCAAAAGGAAATGGAGAAATATCCGTTTTCACATACAGTTGTGGTCAGAGGGCAATTTTATGTGCCAAAAACATCAACTGTTCATATTTATTAAATCAAGCACAAGAAACTACTCTATGGAGAATATGTGCATTTATAATTACTCATAAGAATATTCATTATAGTATCCTTCATACAAGTAAAAAATCTAGTGGAATAACATGAGTGTACCCAATGATAAGAACTGATTAAAATGCCCTCCACCTAACCTAGCTATACAGTCTCTAAAAGTTTCTATCAAAAAGAAAGTCTCTTCCTATACCTTTTTAAGTGGGTGACAATCGGTATCAAGTTGCTGTGGCATTTGGATTTTACTGTATACCTCTAAAGGATTGATATGTCTTGTATTAATGTCATTATTTATAATACTTTACAAAATATTTACAACCAAATAAAATTTTTAAATGTTTCATAAAGAAAAAAAAAACTCATTTACACATTCGTGTAGAAAAAATTCTTACTAATTACACAAGACTCAGTGTGTGTGTTCTGAAACTACACTGATAGTATTTTCTGTGATTTCATGACTTAATATTAGGTAAAGCAACAAAATATGAGTGCAAACACAAGTGGTTCAAAGCAAACTTCATTAAATGCCTTGGAAAGACTGGTTAAACACGAGTCATTTTAAAAATCACAGTTGACAGAGACATTACATAATGAGAAAAGGGTCAATTCTCCAAGACACATAACAACGCTTTATGCCTCTCACAACACTGTCAAACTACATTAGGCAAAAATGATAAAACTCAAGGAAAAATAAAAATAAAAATCACAGTTCACAGTGTCATAGTTCACATCCGAAAGGTGGCTATTATAAGAAAAATGGAAAATAACTTTATTCCAAGATATGGAGAAACTGAAATTCTCATGCATGGCTCATGGAAAATATCAAACAGAGCTGCTGTGGAAAAGCTTCAGGGTTCCTCGAAAAGTTGAATATAGAATTACCTTGTGCCTGTGTGCCCAGCTGTCTTTATCTTTGTGACCCCGTGGACTGTATAACCCACCAGGCTCCTCTGTCCGTGGAATTTTCCAGACAAGAATACTGGAGTGGGTTGCCACTTCTTACGCCAGGGGATCTTCCCAACCCAGGGATAGAACCCATGTCTCTTGAATCTCCAGTATGGGCAAGTAGTATCTTTACCACTGCACCACCTGGGAAGTTATTAGAATTATCATGTGTGTGCATGTTAAGTTGTTTCAGTCGTGCCTGACTCTTTGCAACCCCAGGCTCCTCTGTCCATGAGATTCTCAAGTAAATACTGGACTGAGCTGCCATGCCCTCCTCCAGAGGATCTTCCCAATCCAGGGACTGAACCCACTTCTCTCACAGCTTCTGCACTGGCAGGTGGGTGGGTTCTTTACCACTAGCACCACCTGGGAACTACTGTAAAATTCAGCAATTCCACTCCCATATATGTATCTAAAAGAACTGCAAGAGATTTAAGCAGATACTTATACACTGATCTTCAAAGCAGCATTATTCATCATAGCCAAAAGGTGGAAACACAAATGGTCACTGATAGATAAACTGATAAACAAAATGTGGTATATACATACAACATAATTTTGTCTTAAAAGGAATGAAATTATGATTCACGCTACAACATGCATCCTGAAAACTGTATGCCAAGTGAAATAAGCCAGACAACATATTCTATAATTCTACTTATATAACGTATCTGGAATACACATATTCATAGAAAGCACGGAAGTTGCCAGGGAGGGTCTAGAAGTGGGAGAGGAATGGTCAGTTATTGTTTAGTGGGTACAGGATTTCTTTAGGATGAAGTTCTGGACATGTAGGGCTTCCCTTGTGGCTCAGCTGGTAAAGAATCCAACTGCAATGCGGGAGACCTGGGTTTGACCCCTGGATTGGGAAGATCGCCTGGAGAAGGGAAAGGCAATCCACTCCAGTATTTTGGCCTGGAGAATTCCATGGACTGCAGTCCATCAGGTCACAGAGTAGGACACAACTGAGCGACTTTCACTTTCTGGACATTATAGAGGTAATGGCTGCATTGCACACTGTGAATGTACTTAAGGCCACTAAAATGGTTTAAATGGCAATTTTCATTATTTGGGGTGGTTGTTCAGTCCCTAAGTCCTACCCAGCTCTTTGCAACCTCAGGGTTGCAAAACCAGGCTCCTCTGTCCCCCACTGTCTCCCAGTTTGCTCAAATTCACGTCCGTTGAATTGTTGATGCCATCTAACCATCTTATCCTCTGCATCCCCTTCTCTTGCCCTCCATCTTTCCCAGTACCAGGGTCTTTTTCAATGAGATGGCTCTACGCATCAGGTGGCCAAAATACTGGAGCTTCAGCATCAGTGCTTCCAATGAATATTCAGGGTTGATTTCCTTTAGGAGGGCTTCTCTGATGGCTTAGAAGGTAAGAGTCTGCTTGCAGTGTGGGAGACCCAGGTTCAACCCCTGGGTCAGGAAGATTCCCCTGAAGAAGGAAATGGCAATCCACCTCAGTATCCTTGCCTGGAAAACTCTATGGACGAAGGAGCCTGGCAGGCTACAGTCCATGCAGTAGCAAAGAGCTGGACAGAAATGAACAACTTCACTTCCCTTTCTTCTCCTTTCCTTTAGGACTGACTCGTTTGATGTCCTTCCAGTCCAAGGAATTCTTCTCCAACACCACAACTTGAAAACATCAACTCTTCCACTCAGTAGCCTTTATAGTCCAACTCTCACATCTGGACAGGACTACTGGAAAAACCATAACTTTGATTATATGGATCTTTGTTGGCAAAGTGGTAACTTTTTAAATACATCTCGGCCTGCACAACTTTCCGAGAAGCAAGGGTCTTAATTTCATGGCTGAAGTGACCGTCTGCAGTGATCCTGGAGCCCAAGAAAACAAAATCTGTCACTGCTTCCACTTTTCCCCCTTCTATCTCCCTTGAAGTAATGGTACTGGATGCCATATCTTAAGTTTTTTAAATGCTGAGCTTTACACCAGCTTTTTCACTCTCCTCTGACACCCTCAAGAGGTTCTCGAGTTCCTAACTTTCTGCCATTAGAGTGGTATCATCGGTGTATCTGAGACAACTGGAATGGTTTTGGTCACTGCTTCCTGTGTATCGGTCCACACTTCTTCAGGCCCTCTTGTCTACCAGATCTAATCCCTTCCATCTATTTGTCACCTCAACTGTATTATTGTAAGGGATTTGATTTAGGTCATACTTGAACGGCTTATGTGTTTTTCCTTACTTTCTTCAATTTAAGCCTGAATTTTGCTAAGGATCTCATGATCTGAGCCAGTCAGCTCCAGGTCTTTCTGCCGATAGTACAGAGCTTCTCCATCTTTGGCTGCAAAGAATATAATCAACCTGATTTTGGTACTACTATTTGGTGATGTCCACGTGTAGTCATTTTTTGCATTGTTGGAAGTGTGTGCTTGCCATGACAACTGTTTTCTTGTGTTGTGTACTTTACAATTTGAAAGATGCTGAATTAGCTCTCATCACTGTACTGTCATAAGCTTCAGTTAACAGGATAATGTGGTAGACCTAAACTTTCAGGATATTCATTCATTATTTATTGAACATCTACATGCAATTTGCTTATTTATGTAGGCACTTGGGACTTAGAAGATCCGTGCTTTCATATGCCTTACAGTCTTACACACAACAAACATATTGTGCTAATGATATGTATTTGTTAGCTAAAAAACACTTTAGAAAAAACAGAATGAAGATAGTAGGTTCCATTCAATAGAAAGGTGAAAATAAACCTCATTAAGATGACACTATCATGCAAAGCATTCCAAGCGAGGAACATGGCCTAAATGCTGAGAGGAACACCCGTGTTGTTGAGTTACCAAGTCGTGTCCGACTTTTTGCGACCCCACGGACTGCAGCACGCCAGACCTCCCTTTCCCTAGCTATCTCCCAGAGTTTGCCCAAGTTCATGTCCATTGAATCAGTGATGCCATCCAACAATCTCATCCTTCGTCACCCTCTTCTCTAAGAATTTTAGAGGAACATGCCTGGACTGAAAAGGGATGCCAGGGGACTTCCCTGGCGGTTCAGTGATTAGGACTCCAGGCTCAATCCCTGGCCAGGGCACTAAGACCCCACAAGGCATGTGATGCGGCCAAAAATAATAAATAAAAGGGAGGGCCAGAACGGCTGGAGCGCAGTGAGCAGGGAGACAGGTACTAGGAGCCAAGTCACAGGAACATTTCAAGGACTGAAGCTTTACTCTTCTAGGGACGGGGAGTCACAGCAGGACTGTGAACAGAGTTACGACAGGAACTCTGACAGCGGTGTCAAGAATAGACTACGGGAGGCAGGAACAGAAAGCATGGAAACCTGTTAGGAATTACTCCAGTGATACAGGGAAAAAATGAAAGTAGTGGGAGTGGTTAATTAAGTTGTCAGATTCTAGATATAGTAGACAAAAAGATTTCTTGCTGTACTGGATGTAGGGTGTGAGGAGTCAATAATTTCAAAGTACTGGCCCTAAGCATTTGAAATGATGCTGATGCTAGTTGTTGGGGCTGAGCCGGTGGTGGGGAATGCATGAGGGTAGAATTATTCAGCCTTGGCATGTTATCTTTGAGATGGCTATCAGACATTCAAGTAGAGATGTCTAGCTGCCAGTTAAGTCTCCAGTTGGAGAAAAACGTCTGATTAAAGTCTAGTAAGGCATCCTTTAAAATTAAACAAATGTTCTCTGAAACTTAGATTTAAAAATAAAGCAGACTAAAAATCTTTTAGGTTTCTAAATCCTAATTTTAGTCAGGTATCATCTGCTTTAAAGACCATCAAAATGGCAATACACACACACAAACAAAAACACTATCCAGGAGGGTGGCTTAAAGATAAAATATCAACAGTCCAATTTCTGTTATATTGCATATATATGGATTATTATTCACACCATACACAATGGTTAACAAATCATAAGTCAAACAAAAAAGACAAACTGCAAAGTCTTATAAAAACTGTTTTATTTTCAATACAAGATAAATACCATGCTCGTTACTAGTGCAGTTTAAAGGCCAACAATGGCCAAATAGCAAACTGCTGAACAGTCACCTAAATGCTAAAGAAAGAAAAGACAGAAAGTAAACATTAAACACAAAATTGCAATTACAATCATTTTAATAAAATGGAATGAGCTTTTTAATAGAAGCTAATATGGAAGTCTATTTCTCATGGACATCAAAAAGATGTGTTTATTTGATCAAATATCACCTTACCTTTTGCAAAGAAATTTTATTGTGAAGTCACCATAGAGTCAATAGCTAAAATTTTAAGACTTTCTTTGGCCTTCTGGTATTAGATAAAATTATTTACAAACCGTGGTTCAGTAATTCACGTATACTGGTAATATGATACAATTTTTTGTTAAGGGCTCTCCATTAAATATTGTAAAACAACTTTGTAAGGCTGTACAAGGCTGTAAACTACTTTGCTAATATATCATGGAATGAAGAGGAAGGAGGAATAATAGACCTTTTTTTTAAGGCTAAAGTCGTCAATGTTATAGATGCATTCCTTAGAACACATTATGATTTACCCCAAAGGATCTTTTCCCATTAAATACCACCTGAGTACTACAATTTTCAAAGTAAAAAAATAAACATGAATTCACCATTTGAAAATAATTTAACTTACAAATGCTGGGAAGGATTACGCAGTAACAATTAAGACGAAAAGAACACATCTTCAAAATGAAATGTTTCCACTAAATGCAGGGTCTGTCCAATTATGAAACTGATGTAAAACATTTACATCCATGAAGGAGTTTTAGGTTACTCCCATATGAAAAACTCTCTGAAGTATTTACTATCTGCAGATACCGTTTCAAGATTTGTGTGACTTCAATTAAACTCTACTTAATATTTTAAAAAACTCCCATTACAAGAGGCTAATTAATATAGCAGGAAGTCTTTAAAACATTAAAATATATATAAACCTAACCAAGTGTTTATACGTCCCATAAAAAACCATAATAGCTGCACATTCAGAGTGAATACCAACAACCTGAAATTTTAAAGAAATTGGTTAAAACAAACCTAAATCAATCTGAACACAATACAACTGCCTGAATATTGAGTATTTATAAAACTTCGTATTACTTCTTTCTGATTCCAAGAAAGAAGAGTATAAGAACTTTCTCCCAGAAGCCTAGACATTTTAAAACACATTTTCTATTTCAGCTTACAATAAATTGTTTTAATCCTGAATCTTTTGAAATCTCTAAATCAAAATTCTCACATTACAAACACAAGGAATGCTATATGTAAGGCCACATCTTAATAAATTTATAATTTTTGGTTTAGTATTTATTAAAAAATTAGTCTAAGGCTTCTAAGAGTCAAGTTGCTAAAAAAATAAAACAAATACACCAGTGTTTAAACTGAAGGTTAATGTAGAAAACAACAACACAAATACTGTAGAACAGAAAAATAGAATGCTTTGCTACATAAATCCCACTTAATATATTTCAGCACAAAAATGTCTAATGTGTACAATGGATAAGCATGCACTTAAAAGTACATACAGCTACAGGGCACATTACAGATGGCCATGGGATGCAAATGAACTTAATGGATAAAATTTAAAAGGCAGCTATATGTAAAACAGCTAGGATCTCAATACTGTGTTCTCAGTAAAGAATCAGAACATAAACTTCCTCTTAAAAAAACAAGCTAATGCTTAAAACACAAAAGTGAGGCCATCTTACAAGATACAGAAAACACAATGATCACTCAGGTATGAAAACCAAAATGTCGAGAGCACTGCAACAGAAAGTCTTGCAGTAGTATCTCATTGTTATAAAACAGTATGTATTTAGGTTATTGGCACATTTTAATACATAAAGGAAAGAAAGTCTTTACCATTCCAACAATTTTCCCCTTTCACTATAAAATGTTATACAACATTGATTAAAACCACCATGTTTAAGAATGGACCATAAGCTAGTAGAAAACAAAGTAATATTCTCCATAGGAGAATTAACTGAAAATAATACCTTAAGCTACAATCCATAAGTTTTTTGTGAACTCCAAATTGTAGTTAACTGCTTAAGAATATTCTAGATAAATGGGCTAAATTATGATCATTAGCCACTGCAACTTACTCCAAATCTTGCTTATGAGAACTGACAAAACACTCACAAATTTATACTGGAATATCCTTTCCAAAACCTATGTCCTTTAGCACATTCAATTCAAAGGGCTGCTTCGGAAGCAATACCATTTAGGTGCTCTATCACTCATTCATAACTTTACCAGCTGAGAGGAATGTGGCTGCATAGCACAAATAAATGCTATGGCTTAAAATTAAACTCAAGTTTGATTTCACAGCCACTATAATTATTATCAGAAAGAAATAAGAAAGATCTCTGGGACTCTCTTTTGGTGTCTATGTAAAGATTAATCTCTTTGGATTGTTTTTAACATTAAAAAAGTTTTCAGTAACATCAGCCCATTAAAAAAGGGGGGGGGGGAATGAAGAATAAAACAAAGCTTGCCTTTTCACCCTTACTGCTATATATTCATATATCAGATAAAGACTTTGCAAAAACTGATCAAATCAAAAAGTTATTCCCTTTTGATGACACTTAAAAATTAACAGACTAACAGCAAACAAGTATAGTACACTCACATTGTCTGCAACAAAAGTGCGTAATGAGATCAGCCAAGCAGGGAGAAGAATGATATAGAATGAGCAATTTAAAGGGTTCCACTGATAAAAAAAATGAAAACATATATGAAGGATTTAATTAGCATAAAACTTCCAGTTTTCATTTCAAGTTCAAGCACAGTTAAGATTTTTATGATTCCATTTTTAAACTTTTCAGAGAAAATTGTATCCTCATGGACATTTACTTACCTTTTAAACTATTAACTAATTCCCTTGTAATATTTATGTCCATACTTCTTCGCACTACGGCATTGTAATATTTAAAAAGCTAAGAAATAATAAAAACTAACACCACCTATACACAAAGCAAGAAAACTGATTTTGATACAACTCTCAAATGTTAAAAAGCCAACTGCATTTTCAACAAGATTAAAAAAAAATCATTTTTGAGAGCAAACAGTTCTGATGAACACCAGTGATTCCATGCATAAACACCCTAATCACAAAACGTTTTAAAATAAAACTGGCAATATTTGGAACAGCTAATTCTGTAAGAGCTAGTATGATAGTGGCCAACATGAAAGTGAAGAACTGCAGTTCTCTGGAGGGCTTCTAAGGTTGCACATTACATAATATCCAGGGTGCTTAAATTAGCATTGTCCTAAAATTTAGCTATACTTTAAAAATGTGTATTATCAGAAGATCTCTCAAAGATTATTAGATTTTAAAAACATTAAAAACAAGCTTAAAGGTTTTAACTCAAATTTTTGAAGCAGTGATTCAGAATGACCTTCCTAAACTGACACTCTGCCTATGCTGATTAAGAATACATGCTAGCCAGGTGCTTTTAATGTGGGCTTATATGCAAGGCAGGTTTGAAAAAAACCTTTGATTAACTAGGTAACTTTAGCATGAATTAAATAGACTGCATGAATACACAGAACTCCTTAAACTGTGGAGACAGGTACACCTATAATCTCCCATTACAAATACAGGAGAATACAACCCAATGTTAATAAGCATCACATCCTTCAGAAGTCTATTTTCTGTAACTGGAAAAGAAAACTAAGGCTTTCTTTACTCACATTTGTCTGCTGCACAGCTGCCTATATTTACATCGCCCATGGCTTCAAAAATAAACCATAAGCACTATCAATATAAAATAGCAAATAACCGCTGCATCAAATCAGAATTGTCAAAATATTTCTTCAATGCTAGCAGTTTACAATTAAGCGTTTCAGTACATGTGTCTTTTAATTAAGCTGCATTACTGTAGCAAATCATGTGTGGGTTTTTACTAAAATGTTAAAATCACAAAATCTTTGTTGACCCCTAACACAATGACTGGATTGCTATATCGTGAAATTTCAGTTTTTTACAAGTTTACATACCATTCAGCAAAGTCACAAGCTTAACTAGGTAAAAACAGCTAGAAAAGCAGAATATAGAAATATTAAATATCCAGATAATCACCTATTCTAATATCAAAATCAAGGGCAAGAGACACTTAATTAGTATGTTTAATTCACTGAACGCAAGATTAGGTTGATGCATATCCAAAAACGCTATTGCAATGTTGTTGTTTTTTTTTAAACGACAGTATAAATGTCATAGTAACATTATCTTTAGATATTGCTGAACACAAGACTTTCCCTGAGGTGTAAACATCAAATAACTTGAACAGCTTTACACATCAGCCCCATTAAACAGTTTATTACAACACTACATCTATTGTAATCAAAGTGGTGCTGTTTACAGACATTATCATATGAACATTTTTTTAACAAGAACAAACTACTATAAAACAAGCATTTACTTGACGTTTTTTTTCCAATTGCTTGCACATTATAATGGCCAAATGTATATAACCAGTAATAAAGTTGCAAAAGCTTTAACTTTTTAAATCACACAGGTTTCCTTCAAATAAAACAGTTAAGCAACATAAAAAATAAAAGTAGAGCTACTGGTTACCATTTATGCAGATTTGCTTTATTCAGATCTATTCCTGTTCATTTTATCCATGAATCCTTACAGGTTCAGTTCAATCACAAGAAGCAAACTGCTGGACAAGCGTCATTTTTCCAGAAGACTGTTTTGTCTTGGAAGGTGTTCCTCTTCCTTCAGCTGTAATGTGTCAAAATTTATGATGTAGATTTTGCTATTCCCCATAATACACAGAAAAACGCTGGCTTAACTATACATACACAAGTCGTGCATCTACTTCACTGTTACGTATTCTAACACAAAATAAGAATTAACTGAAACAGTAGCTGCCTTTGTGATGGAGAATGCTCCCAATTTATGTGATGATTAAAAGAGACATTCTGATTTTCTTCTTCTTAAGTATTACTGCCTTATAAATTTAATGACTGAAGCAAATGAAAATGTAGCAGCTACTGTTTCTATGAAGATGGAAACATTTATAAGTCATTTTCTATAGTATTCATACTACAAAAATGGAAAATGCCTGTATGATTTTAATGTAAATATTTTTCATTCATCCACATAAATTCTATATAACTCATAAACAAATGAGAACTGAATATAAATGCAATAAATTATTTTACAAATTAGTTGTATTTGACAGTATACAGGAACTTCTCCAAGTATAAATCAAACGGACCTCCATGTTACAAAACTTGTAAATATAAGCTCAGTATGCACATGTAAATAAATATAATGACATTCACGTACAAATCTTTAGACATATACAAATTTATAACAGTACTGTCACTCTATTTCACCTATATCAAAATATCTAATATATATAAACTAAGTCAAACCAGATAAATGGGAATCTACAAATTTCATTGAAAACTCACAAAAAGAAAAAAAAAACCCAATAAATGAGATAAACTAAAATTTTAGGAATACATAAAAATGCAAACTTCAGGTAGAGGTTCACAAAGGAAACATATTCAATTAACGTGATATTAGTGACCACTGAAACACCAGTTATTTGAAATATAAATTCCAAGAGAGCATGTCAATAATAAGATGATGTAAGAGGCAAAAGGGCACAATGTTTAGTAACAGTCTTCCATAAAATTAAGAATACTTTTTACTCTACAATTAAGAATAATTAGTATTCTGTCACAACTAACTATAAATTTTCTTTCAAGTCCTTTCCTCCTCAACTAGGGTGCAAGCATCTTAAGAGCATCAATACGCATATTCACATCGCCTAGCAGTTTAAAAACCTAAATTTTACAACTGCAAAAGAGAAAAGCAGATACTATAATCCTGAAACTTTCAAACTGTTTTTATTTGCCCTTATTTTTCAGATAGATACTTAAGCCTTTTTTAATGCTACCTTTTATTGTACTTTATCTTATGTTGATAAAGTTTTTGGTGGAATTATTTCACAGAAAAAATCTAGGAAGATGGCTGGCTTTCACATATCTTTACTACTTTTCAATATACTTAAACAAAAACTGGTATTGAAGCATTAAAGAGAGACAAAGCATATATTCTAACCAAAAAAAAAAAAAATTAATAGGAAATTCACAATTCTTACTGCAAGAGAATGCTATCTCCCTAATTATTCTGTCATACTGGAAGGGTTAATTAAGAAGGAAAAATTAAGTCACAATGAGCAAAACAAAAATAGCCAACGCTTCCAAAAACCATATGGCATATTCTGCAATTTTATATCATTCCGAATGGAGAAGTTCTACTACTTTATATGTAAAGAATCCTGTTTGTATAATTACAACATATATCTTTAGGATGAATACATTTATTGTTTGCTTTAAAGATAAGACTTTTACTACTAATAAATCTCTAATTTTCACCATACAGACATAAAATCTGGGGGATAATCTGACAGTTTTTGTTTCTACTTCTAAACACTTTACATGTATCCATTTGGAAATACAAATTTTACAATCTCGAAAAAAGGCAAAATTGAAGGCAATACAACCCATTTCCAATAACCCAATTCCATATTATAGTCTCAAATTTCTAGGCAGAAATCTACATAAACAAAGATATAAAAAAGAAGCTTAAAAGTAACAAATACATTCAGTGGTCATATTTTCAGAATACCATGCAGTCAAATCTATAATGTCAAAGCCACACAATGTCTTGCTTTAAGCTATCAGTTATAGGAAGATCTATGTAAACAGATGTTAAAAAAACTGAGACAGATGGAATCTATGGCTCTTTAATGAGTATATAAAGTGATCACTAAGTTAAAATTTCAATACAGAGAAGCACCTGCATTTTGAGATAAGCCCACGAACAATGGTGTGGGTGCCCTATCCCTTCTCCAGGGGATCGTCCCAGCCCAGGGATCAAACAGGGGTCTCCTGTGTTACGGGCAGATTCTTTACCAGCTGAGCTACCAGGGAAGCCCGAGATAATTTAAGATCAAGTCAGCGTTAACAACTCAAATTATGAATGCTTCTGTCAGAAATTTATCCAAGAAAATTTACTGGTATCAGTTACTTCATCTTTCAAGTAAAAGAGTCAAATATATATTAGATATGGATCTCTTACAGGTTTTCACATTAATATATTGAATTTGAAGGATTCTAATTTATTAACTCAGTATAATAAAATTCACTTTTTATCTGAAAATTTCCTGATGAGAGGAATGGAGATGAGGTGGGCAGAAGACAGAGAAGTATCTAAATACAACTCTTTTTAAAATCAACATCCCTTCTTGCATTGACTAAAACACAGTACACAAAATCTTGTTTATGGTAGATATTTACAAAAAACTCCCTTACTACCAAAACATTTTATACTTTCATCTTTCCACTTCTAGAGACAGTACTTACCTCATTTTAACTAAAGAATTTTATTACACTATGAAATAGAATTCATGACTGCTGCGCCAAGCAGTCCACTAAATGGCAGAAATAAACTTCACAAAGAATACTCATCTTTGCTTCAAAATATGACAAAATGGCCATTTCAAAATAAGCTGTGATTTAGATTTCACCGTTGAGAGTTAAAACATGCTACCACCAAGGCATATTACATTAGTAAATCTGGATAGCATACATGACACCTTTACTCCTTTTTTGGTTATTAGGCTTCTTTTAAACAATGCTAATTATTCATTTTAATTAAATATTTATTCAAAACAATCTAATTCACAAACTAAACCAATGGTAGTAAATTTTACACTGAAATGAAGGTGAGAGATCAAAGTGACTCACACTGGTACTGATTTTTTTTAAAAGAAACAGAACATTAATTATTTGTAAACAAAACCATATTCTTAAACCACAGTGAGCAAAACACACTACACATACATTCTAGGGATCACTTACTACCCTATTCTCACTGCAATTAACATACCTGTGTAGTCTCACATGTTTTGCTAATAATACTAAAAGCAAGGAAAATTAAAGCAAAAGTGAGAGGTAGCATATCCAAATGAAGCAGTTAGAATACATGGGGAAACCATAAACACAGGGATGGGTAATATTAGTCTGAACTCAGACAACCTAAGAGTTGCAGAAATAATTTTTAAATCTCATCACCACCAGTATCATTTTATCAGATAATTAGAAGTATTTAATTTTCACCTAAGACTCAAAGTAACACTGACTCTTAAGGAGATAAAACATCTTAATATTTAAAAAAGAACATTCGATTCTTTGGGCTTTTTTATTTGTTTTTCCCAAATTAATGCAAAGCTAAAAAACTGAGTAAGGAATGCAAAACACCCTAAATCTTGTACAATGACAACAAAATCTAAGATCATAATATTTATGATAGGAGAAGAGAAACCATATAGCAAAGGAAAGTATAATTATTTAACCTATACCCCATACATGATGCTTAAAAATCTAATCAAAGGAATGGATAATGATTTGAGAATGTATCAAGTCATGTGTCAGGCAGAGGAAAAGCATGAATAAAAAGTATTTTTTAAAAATCCTTTCATTACTCTTCAGTACACAAACAAAAGCAGAACCATTAACAGAAATGTGCAGAGTAGTGTTGTTCCCAACAAGTGATAACAGAAAGACGAAAGAAGATAACTATGAAAATAAAATTATTTCTGTAAAAAGCATATAGTATTAAAAACACTGAACTACTTTTGTTTTGCTCAGAGTGGTCTGAGAATTGAGGCAAAAATTACAGAATACGAAGCACAATGTATTTACATGCTGAAATTCACAATATTGATATTCTCATTAAAATATTATATATTTGAACTTAGATATTAAATGCTTTTAGAAAAACTAATACATTTTTTAAATGAGAGAATGCAATTAACATTACCAACAGTTCAAACAAAAAAAAAATTAAGATGGGACAGACATTAACAGCTTGCCAACATCATTAAGTTTCCAGTTAAATTAAGATCTTGCCCTTTAAGCCATTCATCATCACTTTAATAATAGGTCACATTATTGTTTTATTTGTATACAGACTTAACAGTGACATTCACTTCAGCTTCCAAATTACTCTTATTCCATTTAGTCCATTTAAGGTTTACATGATAGTTCAAAAGGACTCATATTTTAAAACTTCTAAAAAAGGTCAATAGACCTTATTTTGATGGTAATTAAAGGTGCAAATTTTTTTATTTGTTTAAGAAAGTTTTTCACTTGGATATATTTAATCCCAATTCCCCCCACCCCATTTATTCCATGTCTACATCAGCAATAAATACTTTTTGGTATAAATCAAAGGTACAATATTCCCGGTTAACAAAATTTTTTGCACTGGAAATGCTTATGTAAAATTTTGCTTGGGTGAAGGCACATAACAATATTACAACTCAATTCTGATTATAATGTACAAACAAAACATGGGAATTTTGGTATGGTACACATCAGCGATTAAGAAAAAATGCCGACAATATTTAGTTTGCAAGTTAAGAATTCATAGTTAATGTCTGAATGTAATGAAACTCAAACCATGATATAGTTAGGTGTACCCATTACTGGAATGTAATGTTAGTTAATTCAAGGTATTTAATACAATGGACTTTTCAGAAAGAGTTTATCTATTTATGCTAGTTTAACTAAAACCAGTAAGAAAACCTGTTAATTAACTTCGGATATAAACTGGTTCAGAATGCCCCTGATGGGCATGTCCAGTCCTGGAGAAGATTGAAAATGTATGCAAGTTCCATTCTCATGAACTTCAGTAACTAGAAGCTTGTTGATAACTGACAAAGTCTTAAGTAAAAATAAAACTTGAAGGACCTGTATCTTGCTTTAAATGAAATGACTGATGAACATTAAGCATTTCACTAAGGTGGCCATAATTTACCTAAAGCAACTGATGGGCACTCGGAGTTTTTTTTTTAAGAGGGGATCAGGCCCATTCAACTTGGGGAGAGGAGGGGGACTACATCTAAAAAATCTAATGTTTATTTTTATATGACACAACATTCAATTCTTACATCCAAAAACAATATCAATTCCAAAAAGCTTAGTTTTAAAAGTAAAAAAAATTTTGCCTTATATTAAAATGATGTTTTGAAAATTGTATTAAGTTCTATAACACAGTACATGGAGAACTTTTTAAAAATTACAGTTTGATATATATTCAAGATGCATATTCATAATGCAAGGAAAAGTATTAAAACTTGCCTTTCACTCTAAAAAGCTCTTAAAACTGTAAATAATGTAATAACTTATTTGTACACCACAAAAATAAGACTTACATTGCTTGTTTCAGAAGTACTATTACTTAAAAAAGGATCTCATTTGCTAAAATATACCTACTTTACTTAAAGAAACTGCTATTCTGTCATAGAATTACATACAAGTCTTTGGTTTTGCCCATGACAATTTAAACACTACCAATTACTGAATTTTCAGTATTTCCCAATTTTAGTTACGGAAAATAGTCATGTAAAGAGTAGTAACCTATAAGGGATTGGTTTCAGTCTAATTTAATTTGGATATGCCACCAACCTATGAAGAAAAAAAAATCTGTTTACAGAATAACTTCCGTGTCACATGCACAAGCCTTATAGTGCCCTCTTCCCACTCTTCACATGAATAAATGCTGTTCACAAATATAAAAATAAAATTACACGTGAAAATGAAGTATAAACAGACAACTCTTCCCGCTTAATGAAAAATGTACACAATAGTTTTAAAATACAGAAAAAAAAAAGACACAATGATTATGGTTTATGAATGAAACATCAAAGAAAATTACTTCAAAGTTATTCTAACCTGAGATGTATGATTTGATACAACTTAAAATTCTCTATATGGAATACCTTGAATTCATTTTAACTGAGTAACTTTCTTCTTTGCAAATCAAAGAATACTGTTCCTTTTCTTTTAAAAACAAAGCCCAGATGGCAGGAAAAGTGTCTTTTCTTAAAAAAAAAAAAATTTTTCTCAATGCTAACAAACCACCTTCCAACTAGCAACAAGTGTCAGATTGTCTTTCAAATTTTTAGGGATAGTTAGTTAGTTCAAGAAGAGAAACTTAAAATTTATTTTTTGAAGTCCAAGCATGTTACAGTAAGAATTAACTCATATTTTATATTTTAAATCACATGCAAACTATGTATGTGATTAAGAGAATTCCAATTTTTAGATTTTAGAAGTAGACAATGAGTCCTCTTGATTATTTTCTTGCTTTCTTAGGATCATTAACAGTCTGAAACCTAAAAGCTGTAACTCAAGCAAGCAGCATTTAAGGATAAGAGGTCAAAATGTTTACCTGTCATTACTCACCTGTCATTTACCTCAGATGATTCCAGAAGATTAAATTCAGAACAAGTAGTTGGATGGTATAAAATGTGGGTATATACTGCATAAACAATAGCCTTGGAGTTATAATCACTATGAACAACAGGCATGCTGGAAGTGACAGGACAAGGAACACCCACCTGCTAACGATGTCGATACTCGCGCTCACGGTCGCGCTCTCGGTCCCGGTCCCTGTCCCGGTCCCGGTGTCTCTCTCGTTCCCGGCTTCTCTCTCTGTAATAATCATCATGACGATCTCTACTGCGGGATTTATGGCGCCGACTCTTTTCTCGTGATCTACTATGATCCCTTTCTCTTGATCGTTCACGTCTTCTAAAAGAAATTACTGGATTAATGCTCTCCATAATTAGCTTTAAAATTTAATATTTTGATGTTTAAAAATACCCAAGGCAAAAAAATAACTTACAAATATAGTTTAGACTAAAATATCCTGAACAGACAATAATGATTTTACCAACTCAGCAACAAGCATGAATTAGAAATCCTATTTTAAAAAACATTCACCTAAAAATTGGGACGCAGACACACCATGGTAATACATCATATATCATCTATTACAACCAGGAGCCTAAAAGAGACATGCGATATTTACTGAATGAAAAGTGGAAAGGTAAAGTAGAGAAAATCTCATAGGACTTGTGTTTTAATCGAACGAAATATATAGAAAAGTAGTTTTTTAGAAGTAAAATTCATGATTATCACTCAATACACAATGAGACTTAAATACTTAAACTTATAACCCATTACTGTAGGTTACCTAAACATATATGTAAGTATCAATCTTACATTTATAACTAGCCAAAATATGGTTCATCGTAAGTGCTACCCTACTAAGAAACTTACTGAAGAAATATACACATATGTATGCTTGGAGGATGGTAGTGCTGAGAAGCATAGTGGCAAGCAAAGAAGAAACTTAGTAAACACGACCACTAAAAAAGATTGAGCAATTCACATTGTTATTTAATAAAGAGAAATGCTGCATGAACTTCCTTTAGAAACAAACAAAATACAGGTACTTTAACCAAAGTATATATCTTAGAAATCCTACTAATCTAAGTTCTGAAATTCACAATTAGGAAATAACTGCTGATTAGTTTAATCTCTATTTTGTATCTCTGCACCGGACAGCTCAACTTAGCAAACATTTTTCTTTTTTAGCAAACATTATTAAGTGTTAAGCTTGTGATCAAGGCAGAAGTTATTCTGGACTTAAAAAGTTAAAAGACTATGTAAGATACAGTCTTTAGCTGTGAAAATTTGTTGAGATCCAAAGATCCTTAAACTGGATCACAAAAGTAATAATTATAAAGGGGACCACGACAAAGACAAGCTCCTTTTCCTAGCTTAATGAAGAAGATTCTACCACCTGGTAAGTACACCAAAGACCTAAAAGTATCATGTCAAGATTAAGCTTTACTTTTCTAAAATATGTAAAATTTCAACCAAAAAAAGAATTGCCTAATTTTAAAAAAACCCTAAGAAATACATCATAAACTCCCTTGTTCAAGAAATACTTATTTAGCGCCCATTCTCTACATCATTACAAACACAGTAATGAACAAGACAGGTAAATAAGACCCCTCCCATTTTTCAATGTGTTCTAGTGAAAAGAAATAAGTAAGAACAATAAGTAACAATACTTAACAATAAGAAAGAACAGACTGCAGGAAGAATTATTAAAGAAATAAACAGAATAATCAGAATAACCTGGGAGAAGACCCCCTCCTACAAAGATTGAATTGAGAAAAGAACAAGGAGCAGCTATGTGAAGAGCCAAGGAAAAAGGCTCCCAGTAGAAGAAATACCAACTGTTAATACAGAAACAAGAGTTTGATATGTCAAGAGGAAGAAAAGGGAAACCAATATTGATAGAGAATAGTGAGCAAGAGAAGTACATAATGAGGCAAACTGTATCATACTGTTTACAATGTTTATATTTGCATTATTACATTTATTCTAAGAATAAGAATTATAAGAATAACTGAAAGCCTTTGAGGGATTTTAAGTAAGCAAACACCTGACATTTATTAAACAACAACAAAATCACATTAGCTGTGAAATAAACAGTAATAAGTAAAATCAAAGTCCTATAGAGTCCCAAACACATTTCTATTTGCAAAGCCACAATTTTAAATAGACATGAGACAGGAAAGTTTTACCTTGATCCAGAACCATAAGACTTGGATTCAATTCCATGAAGGCAATCTTGCAAAGAGCTAATAAGAACTTTGCAACGATCATCAGCAGATACTTTGGATTGTTTAATTAAAGAAATTGCTGTTACCAATGTCTCAATAGCACTCCCATAATCACCTGTGGGTGGAAGGAGAGAGGTTTAAGTCAAACAAATTTTATTTTCAAAAATATCACCTAACCATTTGAGGCGACCATTTTAAAAAAGCAATGCACTTTAAAATAATTATAGATGACGTCTTCATTTTTTCAGTTTCATCATTTGGGTAATGTACATGAAGTTTGTTATTGTTATAGCAATAACACGTGATCATTTAGTAAATATGGGAATAAACGAGCTGCCTTAAGGCCCCTGAGCCATTAAATGTCAGGGCTAATACTTAAATTTATACCTAAAATGTTTAAATTAGGGGTATTTCACTACACTGTGACATACAGTTCCCTTCAATGCCTTTTAACTAAAAGATAGGTAATGACTGGGAAATATACTACATGTAGATGACCCATCTTCTTTAGGTCATGCCTAGACTTCCCTGGTGGTACAGTGGAAAAGAGTCCGCCTGCCAATGCAGGGGACACAGGTTCGACCACTGGTCCAGGAGGGTCCCACATGCCTCGGAGCACTAAACCCACGCGCCACAATTACCGACCCAGGGTGCTGCAACCGCCGAAGCCTGCGTGCCTAGAGCTTGTGCTCTGCAGAAGAGAGGCCACAGCAATGATGAGCCGGTGCACCGCACCGAGAGTCGCCCCTGCCCACTGCCAAAACTAAAATCACTTTTTAAAAGTTTTATGTCACTCCTAATAACAGAAATATTAATACAGAAAGAAATATACAAACCAGCACTGGCATCAGACACAGCTCTTGAAATAGCACTGCTTGAGATTGCCCTATTTCTATTCATGATTTCTTCAAACTCAGCTTCACTCAGTGGCGTTCTTGCAGTATCCATCTCCCTATAAAATCAAAGTAAACCTTCAATCATACTCAAAAGATTTTCTAAATTAGTCATAATAGTGTAATGCAATTCAAACAACTGCTTTTGACAAGTGCCTCAGAGCTAATAGTTATTTTCTCATATTGAAATATGCTATTTTTCATACAAACAGAGCAGGTGTATGCAAAATTCCCTTGTACCATTATCTTTCAACTGAAATAAACTAGCAACTTAAAAACCTTATCTTTCTGGAGGTCAGAAATGCTATATCTACATAAAATGCAATAAAATATTTTTTCAGTCATACAAAAACATGTGAAAAATTGTTTTGATGTCTCTCTATATGTATGTATTATCTAAGCAAAACATGCTGACTGCAAAAAATACAACCCTACACAAGCCAGGGGCAAAATTTGGTTTCATTTATATTTGGATCCTTTAGGCACAGAGCCCAACTCACAACAGAAGAATAATAAATCTCTAACTAATAACATTCCAGGAGGGACAAGATCTTAGACCTATCTTGTATGCCCCACTGAATCCCCAGGATATCTGGCAAATAAAAGATCCTCAGTACCTACAAATATTTACTGAAAAAAAAAAAAAACCTAACAAAATCCCAAGATTTTCTAAAGCTGCTGGACAACTTAAAAAATTGTGACTGTGTGTAGTACAGAAAAGGTAAACGTTTTGCCATCTTAGTTATTAGTTACTAGGTAGGATGTTGAATCGAGGCAAGCAGAAGCAGTTCATTCAGATGAGATGCGGAAAAGCTAACACAACCTTCTGCATGTTTATAAGGTATTATTGTTATTCTCAAAACTTTATAAACAGTCTAACCAAATTACAAGTTTTTTAACATTCATGTATGATATCAGACAAATTCTGTGACTCATACCCATCCTATTTCCTTAAAAAAAAAAAAAAGTAAGAGTTTTCTCTCACTTCCAATTAAAATTATTCAATAATAACCAAATACATACACACAAATATTTTTAGAAAAACTGATACTACAGAAATTCAATTATGTTAGAAAAAAGACATGCGATTCAAACTCTAAACTTATCAAACCAAGCCACCTAACCCACCCCCATAACAATGAACACTTAATAGACAGTAGCTCACTGGAATTAAGTTGAACAGAAGAAAAATTGTGCTAACTTCCTAGATGTAACATTTCTCAAAAGAAAACAAAGTATTTCAGGCACTCAAAAGATACAATGTCTATGGATAGATAACTGTCAGAAGACTTTATCTACAACGTGAAATTTATTCCCCTGGCCCTGCACACTTGTGTGAAACTAGGCAGATGCTCAAACGCATCCCTGCAGGACACGGGCAGACAAATTGAAACACAGAGCAACCCAACGGGAGCAGTTAAAGGTCACAAGATCAAACAATATGCTCAGCAAAACCCGAAGGGGACAAATTCGAGTAGTTCTTAAAGATTAACACAGCTCTCCAGATTACGATTTGAGCATGCATAGCTTTAGAAGTACTTTAGTTTCCATGCAGCTCTTCTCTAAGGATTGCCATTAACTATTTTATTTCCCATAAAGCCTGTGTTTTACAAGTCTTTGTCTACCCAAAGATGCTTATAAATTATTTAATGTTCCCACTTTAATTAAAAGTTAGTAATTTTGCTACACAGGACTCCTGATAAGCGTGAGATACTATTTAATAAACTGACCTAATTTCTAAAACAACGAAGAAACTTTAGCTTTCTATGTAGTGTCATCAATAGTAGATGATATTGACTTTAAAATTTTAAAAGTAGCTTGAGGATCCCACTAGCTTGCTTCAGTATCTTTATCAACCTCTTTTAACTTAAAAATGATGGAAATAAAGTGACTTGCCCTAAGATCACAAGGCTGTGTAAGTGGTAGAGCTAGATTATTCCCAACCCTGTTCAGTAGGTTTTTCACCGTATCATACCGCTTCTTGTAAGAGAAAACATACAGAAAACTATATCTGGGGAAAGCTAATTTTTTAAAACTTCACAGACAAGAGTGAAAAATAGCTTTTGCAGATGAACTATACCAAGTCTACTTTTACCCATGCATACTAACTTACCTCCCAGGAGGCCCATAGTCACCCCTATCATATGGTGGAGGCCGGCCATATGGATCTGTTGGTGGTGGGCCTCGGCTATCTGATGTAGGCATGCCGCTGTTAGTTGGTGGAGGAAAGAAAGCTGGGTTCACATGTGGAGCTGGCGGCGGGGCCCCTGGAGGTGGTCCAGGAAGATGCGGAGGAGGAGCGAGTGTAAGGGGTGGCCCAAGAGGGCCAGGTGGGCGAGGTGGAAAGGGGCCTGGAGGCGGAGGTGGTCCCTGTTGTGGAGGTGGTGGACCAGGAGGGGGGCCGTAGCCTGGAACTGGAGGCGGAGGGCCGGGAGGAAGCGGGCCCAGCGGAGGCTGCCCAAAAGGCTGTCCAGGAAACAGGACTGGTGGAGGAGGGCGATCGCCTCGATTAGGAGGCCCAGCTAAAGGAGGCGGCAGAACCTGACCAGGAGGTGGAGGGCCTGGTGGACCGGGCGGGCCTGGAGGACCTAAGGGTGGACGTGGTGGTGTCTGTCCAGCTACAGAATAAAGGGGAGAGAAAGAGAGAAAAAAAAAAAGAAAAACACTTCAATAAGGTGTTTTAATCTTCATGCCACAATTATACTTTTAAAGCATAACTCAAAGACCAAGACTCTTTCTCTTTAAATGAAACCCATATGGTAAATGCTACACTAACAAGTTACAAAGGTGAAGTATATCCTTACACATTTAACTAGCTCAATTTAATGCTTAAGAAAAACTACTGAAACAACAACTTTAACAGATTACAATGCTTAGAGATAGTTTCCATCTTTCAGCATACACACACTTCTTACAGTGAAATCACCCACCTTATAGTCTACTCTGATGTCAAGCTAGAAAGTGAAACAAGGAAAAATGGTCTTGAAAGGATTTTTTAAGAGGTAAGAAAATAAGACGGATGTAAATATTCTATATATAAGTCAAGCAAGTTTGGAGAAAAATAAAGACCTTTTAGGCCAAAAATGGGTAATTCCTCTATGCTGTGCCCCATATGCCATGGAATCCTAGTTTCCAGGAACAAAGGCCGAGTTCCTTTAACAAGATGCTTGATCAAATTTCCTGGATTCCAAAAATAGCATAACAAGGAGAGTAAGTCACATTAATAATGCATTACTTGAAAAAGAGAGAAAAGGAAAAGAGGTATTAGGTAGACACATTTTATCCATGGCGATTTAAGAAAAACTTTACCTGGAAAAGGTGGAGGTGGCCCTCCTGGTCCTGCTGGCCCAGGAAATCTGTCCCCACCGGGAACAGCCCCTGGGAAACGGCCCCGTCCTCTACCACCTTGTGGGAATGCTGCACGTGAACTGCCTCCCGGAGGACCAGCTTTACCTTCCCCAGACATCTGTCCTGATTGTGTAGCTGCAAACATCCAAATACTCATAAATAGCATTTATTAAAATAGTTCTCTGATATGTAACCACTGTTAGATATTAGAAACAACTCTAAATCAAAGTTTATGTATACTGCTTACTAACTTCCAGATGCCTTGGGCCAGTCCAAACTACATGAGAAGTACCCATTTAGGAAAACATTCACATCTATTCAAATTCTTTTGAAGTCTCAAAAGATCTACACTTAAATGTATTTCTGATAAACAAATAATGAGTTACTTTCAAAATACCAGTATTCTGCAGCAGCCAAGACCAAAATTCTCTAACAGAAATCTAAATTTCAGTAAGTATAAATCATTCAAAGTCTTTAACATTCATCAGTTAAGTTTTAAGTGCTAGAACATTAAGAAAAACAACCACTCAAATTTCTATTAATTACATAATCATCCATTTATCTCTTTAAGTCGTAACATTCTTAAGTATATAATGGCAAATCTTTTCTATAGTCACTTTACCAAGTGGTGATAGGTCTTGGTGCCAAGCAGAAAATCAACGAATACTTTCTGGTTATCAGTAGTTTCTCCCCCACCATAACAGACATCCACATAACTTTCCTTCAACCTAAGGATTAGAATGTAGTTTCTTCCTTTCTTTAGGATGGGAATGACAGGATAAGAATGGCAGGGCTATAAAACTTGCACACTGTTGTGTAATGTTGGGTCTGTAACATTTAGAGAAAAATGGGAATAGGTTTCCAGTACACGGAACCAGTCATAATCAGTAATTTAAATCAAACTCAAAGCATGGATTTTCTAAAACGGATTCTCCAATGAACTAAATATAAATATTAAGATGACTTCTCCAATACAACACACAACAAATGCTAACAAGACTGGTTAAAATGCACATCTTTTAATAAAAGCCTCTGAGGGGGTGCTTACTTTTCCTGGACTGCATTTCAAATTGACTCAGGAACTGTTTATTGCATGGAGTTACAACAGGATTCTGACCATGAAGCTCTCTCTTAGGCAACAAATCCATTAACTTTTTTGAGGATGCTTCAGATCCAACACCAACAAGGGCAAACCTAGAAGGTGTTTAAAGGGATGTGGGTAGAAAGTGAGGAGGGATTAACTGTTATTGCTGTTATTAAAAATGAAATGGTTTGAATTTAATTTTACCTACCAAACAAAACAAAATATTTCTTAGACTACAATGGTCACACTTTCATCTTTAACTTCTTTTTATAATAACACATCATATTATTCAAAGTGTACAGAATTCAATGCTTTCTTTGTTTAGCATACTCAGAGTTTTACCATCATAACCACATCAATTTTAAGAACATTTTCATCACTCAAAAAAAAAACCCCATAATTGTTAGCTGTCACTCCATTTCCTCCCATCCTCCAACCCTAAATCTGCAGATTTGCCTATTCTGGACATTTTATTAAATGTGAATAATACAGTGTATGGTCCTTCATGGGGACTAGCTTTTTTCACTTAGCATGATGTTTTCGAGGTTTAATGCATGTTAAAGTATGTGTCAGTGATTAATTCCTTTTCATGACTGAGTAATAACTTCATTATAGAGAGATACCACATTTCCTCAAAATCACCAACCGACAGGCATTTGGGCTGTTTCCACTTTTTAATTACTACGAATAACATCACCATAAAAAGATGCTCAATATCATTAGCTAACAGCAAAATGTAAACCAAAATCGTAATGATACCACTTCACACACTAATCAAAAAGACAATTAACAAGTGCTGGTGAGGATGTGGGATAAACTAGAACCCGCATACATTGCTTGATGAAAAAAATATATAATGGTACAGACACTCTGACAGATATCCCAGCAGCTTCTTAAACGGTTAAATATATTAGGGTTAAAATAGCATCCAATAAATCTCCTGGGAATTCTCTGGTGGTCTAGTGGTTAGGAGTTGGGGCTTTCAGAGCCACGGCCCAGGTTCAATCCCTGGTCAGGGAACTGAAATCCTACAAGCCTTACGGCAGGAAAAAAACAGAACACAACTCCTGAATGTACACATGTAGCTAAGAGAACTGACTGCAAACACTATGTTCACACAAACCGGTACATGAGTATAGAGGAGGCGTATTCTTTAGAACAAAATTAGAGATTTTTATAAATGTTGATAAATTCAACTTCTTTCACTAAAGATTTTTCTGTCTATATGAAAGGGTGGCTTTGAAACAGTTGCAAATCATATGGGAACTACAGTGTAATCTATTCAGATAAAAGAAACAATTTCCTTAAAAAAAATGCTGCTAAAACTCATATATGAACATTCACAGGGGCCTTTTTCATAGCAGTAAAGATGGGAACAACCTAAATGTTCACCAAAGGATGGATGAAATTTTCAGAATTTCTAAATTTTTGAGATTTTAAATGTGGTGCATTCACATAGTGTAATATTTAGTGGAATATTAATATTTTTAAAATATAAGTACTGACACATGTTACATGATGAGACCTGAAAATATTATGCTAAGAGCAAGAAGCTAAGCACATGGGACCACATTCTTCATGATATCATTTCAGAACAGGCAAATCCACAAAGACAGTTGCTAACAGATGCAGGATTTCTTTTGGGGGTGATCAAAACATTCTGGAAATAGACAATAAAAATGGTTATACAACTTTATAAATAAAGTCCACTGATCTGAATGCTTTAAAAGGATGAATTTTATAGTATGTGAATTGTATCTCACTAGAAAAAATAAATTTAGAACAGAAAAAAATGAATGATTGTCAATTCATAAAGTTATACAATATTCTAAATTATTCTCAGAAGGCCTCTTAGGAGCCTTTACTCCCTAGTATTCAAAATGGTCCTTTAATTAGATCCTGGTCAACAAAGTCTGCTGTTTGATTCAAGATTACCTTGGGTCACAACATTTAGAAACAATTTAATTAATTCACTAATTTAAGAAACATTTATTGAGCACCACTCCCTATATGCCAGGCCCCATTCTAGGGTTAGGGAATACAACAGTGAACAAAGCTCTTTTGGAACTTACAATCTAAATACAGTAGGAGACAAGACAAATGAATAACATACAATATAAGAAAGGGGGGGGAGGGGGGCAGGGGACTGATGACAGCCGAAGATCTTGCACAGTGTGGCCAGAGAAGGGGAACTCAGGCAGAGTCCTGAATGAAGTGAAAGATCCCAAAGGTGGGTATTTTGGGGAAAAGTAAACCAAACAGAAGAAACAATGGAAAGGTCTTAAGTAGAAGTGTGTCTGAGGAACAGCAGACTAATTAATGCAGCTGAAGCAGCATAGCGAAGTAAACAGTAGTAGGAGATGAGGTCGGAGATGTAGTGTGTAAACAGGTCTCAGTGCCTCATAGACCACAGTGAAGACTCTGGGTTTTACTCTGAATAAAATGGATAACCAAAAGAACATTCTGAGGAGACCAATACTGATGTCACTTTTTTTCAACTTCCGCTATGTGTCTGTATAGACTGTAGAGAGTCAGCGTGAAGGCAGGTACACCAGGCAGGACGCTACTGTTCAATGAGGGAACAGTGGCAAGGACAGGCAGTAGACGTGAAGTTCATGAAAAGCAGCCAGACTCTGCACGTGTTTGAAAACACTCCTAGTTACTGCACACTGGATATCATTCTGTAGTTAGCAAATTACCTCTCAGAAAATCCAAAATCTATGCCAAAGATTTAAATAAAGTATTATTTAAAATAGACAAAAACTGAAAACTCAAAGAACCAAAAATAAGAACGGTAAAATAAATTACAGTAGCAAAGTATGATAGAAAGAACTAATACATTAGAGAAGATGTATATTTATTGTTAATTTTTTTTACTGTGTTTCAAACACACTATAAAACATAAATTGCAATCCTATTGTTTTTGCAATAAAAATATAAGCACTAGGAAAATACGTTAAAGTATATTCACTAAAATGACAAGAGTAATCACCTACAGATGATGACATTATATTTTTTTACTGTCTTACTTTTGGACATCTGTATTTTATAATGATCCTACCTCATCTGTGTAGTTTAACAGTTAAAAAAATAATGCAAAACATCCATGCTACATTATTCTTCAGTTGCCCATATTCCAATACCTCTTAACCACGGGGATAGTAATGCTTCTTCAAACTGTCATTGTTCAACCATAATGGAGAAAACGCAGGAAAATTGGAAAAGAGACCTAATCTCCCAGCTCCACTAGTTTTAGGTGGATCCACTAGATCACAGGATACATTAAATGAGAATGAATCTTTGCCCAAGAACCTCCTGTCAGTGTAGAAAAGAAACATCCTACACATGTGTAGATAAGTTTTAACTTCAAGTAGTCACCCCTAAAACTGTAATTGCTAGCTACTAAATCCCATTGGGTGAAAAAAAAAAAGAATTAAAACGAAATTCTTACCCCTTTGACTGGCCATTTGCCCGATTTTCAAAAAACTTTATCTCCAAAATATCATTTACTCCCAAAGAATGAACTGCTTCAGTTAAGTCTTCATCTGTTGTCCACTGCAAGATATTTCCCCCTCATTAACCATCAAAACGTATCTAAGATTTTTATTGTTTCAACTTAGTTTGTAAGGGTAAACTCAGGATAAACAAAAGAAAATTAATCCTTAGTGCAAACTATGTACAATTACTGCCAGTCTCCAATTTTTAAATAGAACAAAAGTACCTGAAGACATAATTTTGTCCATTGATAAGAGTTTAGGAAATAGAAGGTACATACCCCCAGAGAGAACACAGAATTTTAAAAAAATAACAAAAAAAAACCCTTAATGTGTTTTTGGTCTCTTCCAGCTTTCAACTGCTATGACTTTAAATTTTCAGTAAACCAATCTCACCTGCCGCGCTTTTTTTCTTAAGAGAAATTATTTGGGGAAACAAACTCCACCTTACGTTTCAAAGTATACAAAACAAAATCCTAACATGTATTCAGTGCCTACCATACCCTTTTATCAAATATTTAATTCTCTAAACATAGAAGTCCCATTTTACATATAATTCCTATTTTACACTCTATGCAATAGAGAGGTTAAAGAAGTTGTCCAAGGCTATAAAACATATATAGGAGCCAAGACTCCGCCTTACTTAGCAACCACACTCTTTATATCTACAATGCTACTGTCTCCAACATTATAAAAATTGCTCAAATGATGGGAGATTGGCCAGTTTTTTATATATGTAAACATTTAAAAATACTATTAAGGAAATATACAGTAACAACTCATTTCTAGGCAATTTTTAAATTTTCAACTATGTGTAATAAATGTTTCTAAATAGAGATGCAAAAACTCTACAGGACTATTTTAGTAAATATTTAAGATTCAATTCTAATAAAACACAGATAATAATAATAATACTAAACATTCAGCTAATGAAACTCCAATCAATAAACCTACAGTCTCATAAACCAAATTAAAATGCAATATATAACAGCAGTATTTCTGTAAATCAGATTTCAAATTTAAGAGCAAAAATGAAACTCAGCATGTCTGTAACTATGATTTGGATAATGAAAACTCTTAAAAACAAGACTCATATTGTGTATCTTTCTCTCCTACATTTCTGAATCCTGGTTTGAGACTTTATGTGAGCATTTTCCTTTGTAAACGGGGATAGCTGAAGTGTAGGAGTAGGAAAAGATAAAAAAACTGAACTACACTTAACTGGAATATCTACCACAAGTTGAATGTCTACAAAATTCAGAACTAGAAGATTCTGGTACTTACTATATTTAAAAGGTGCAAGTATGTCGTGTTCCCCGACCCTCCCCCTGTCCATAAGAAAGCATGCAGAGCCAATTTAATAACTTGAAGTTCTTATTTTATAAAACTGGAGAAAAAAATTAACTACTGGAATAGCTAAATCAATCACCAAGGATTTAATTCAAATCAAGTCACTTACCCATGTTAGATTCCCAATATACAATGCAATTCTCTTTCCCGTATATGTATAGACAACATTTGGTGCTGCTCCTTTACCCACATCATCACCAACAGTTGGTGGGAGAGTATCCATGTAATCCCGATCTTCTGGGGCATCTCCATTATTTGCAGATGGAGAGATGACATCATCATACAAATCTATCTGATCATGCCCACCATATTCAGCTTCCTGAGATACAGAAATAATGTTCTAGATTATACAACTGTCAGATGAGTTCTAAAACAGATTTGAATGCAAATTTATTCAACTATTTTCTTTCAAAAATTTGGTAGAAGACACAGGTCAAAGATCTCAGTACAAATCTTGCACTCTGCCACTTCTTGAACAGTGCCTATAAAGTGAATTTCTACACAATGAATTCTATTTCCCCACTGATACTTATTATAGGAACTAATGTTCCTCTAGGAACAGAATAACATGTAGACAAAATAAAATAATAAACTTTTCATGGAAGCAAAATACTCTAAAAGTACCAACACTGACTACAAATTTTTGATACAAAAATATCACAAACAAAAATCAGAGCCATTATGAATCTTTAGTATTTTTAACTGCAGAAAAATACAACTATTATTTTCTATAGTATTCAGGATCATGCTTCCCAATTCTGTGGAAGCCGTTTTAGAAAAATCATAGTAAGCTAAGCCACAGGAAAGGGATAAAGAAATGTGGCTATGTAAATGATTCTATATGTCACAACAAATGAACAGGGGAAAGAGAAACAAAGTACAGGTTAAACTATCCAAATTAGTATCCATTAATAGTTTTATTATTCTCAGTCAACAAAGAGTTAATGCTTACCCGACTTCTTATATAGTCAATTAGCAAAACATATCTACATGGTCAAGAGAAAAGGGACATGAACAAGGAAGAATCTAGTAAAGTTCTGCCTTCAAGTGTCACCAGCAGAATTAAAACAAGGCTAGTAGATGCCACTTACATGCCTAAGTGATATGCAAGTAAGAGGAAAATGAAAAATAAGCAAATATGTGAACAGGAGAAAAACAGAAAAATAAGAGTTCAACCTGTAAACAAGCACAAGAAAAGTGAAATGCAGGTATTGGCAGACACTGAGCATCATTTACAGCCTTCGGTAACAGTTACTGGGCCACTGGCTTGACTAGCCAGTAGCAGAGGGCAAGCTCTATTTTTATCTTCCTTTCCACCACAAAGTACCTAAATAGATGTGAACCATTTCATTCTGAAAAGTGAAAGTGAAGTTACTCAGTCCTGTCCGACTCCTTGCAACCCCACGGACTGTTGCCCACCAGGCTCCTCTGTCGAAGTAATGAGAGTGGCAATTACACTTAGAAAACGAGTATAATTCCTGTCTTCTCCATCAATACAACTCAGTAAGAACGAATACAAATGGCAGGTAAGGAGAAGCTAATAGTTTTAGGTATTAACCATTTTAGGGATAAAGAATGACACTGAAAAGGCATTAGTAATATGACTATGAACAGATCAACAAAATACTGTTATAGTAAGAGTCCCAAGGAAACATGGCTCTTGTTTTGCTATTCAGAAGGAAGCCAGAAAAAGATTTTTTTTAAAAAGAAACAGAAAAAGAAAAAAAAATCTAGAAGGGGAAATACCACTTATATAGCGTTTCAGGTAATCTTCTGCATAATGAAGTTATTCAATTTGCTGATTATACAACAGAATCTCTACATAACAATATTGTTATGAGGCTGAATGTACGTAACTTATTTAATAACGGACAAGATCTTAAGGTAAGTCAGAAAAGAAAGACCTCTTTAGCAACGGGCAGAAACTAAGACCACAAATCACTGAATAATGCCATAATTTTGTTTCCACAGCAATACCAAAATAACCTTTGAGAACTGAGTTTTTTGAAACCAAGGAACACGATCAAACTGCAGTGACAGTAAAAATTAGAAAAAAGAAGGGTGAGTTTTCTTAAGAAGTTTCAGTGTAGCTAAAGCTTCAGGCGGCATAGCTGCAGCCGTGCTTCCACAAACTTGAGATACCGACAAGTGTCCCGCAAGGGGCGGTGGGCACTGCGAAATCGGCTGCGATCCAGTTTTGTGCATCAGTACAGTTATTGTTACTATTATTCAAAAGGAGTTGTTTCCATCCTCCTGAGCAGACTATAATCACAATATATGGTTTGAAGGAGAGTAAAACAGAATGCAAAGGTTATTAATAGCAGCACTGAAAGTATTTCAATTTATATTTTCATGAAATATTTGATTTTTCACTAGTTATAAATCTAGGAAAATGTTCACATAAGTAGACAATAATTTACAGGCATAATAACTGCAGCTACACTAACCTGATGAATCACAACTTAACTATTTTTGTCCATCCACGAATTCCTATGTTGACAACAACCAATTTTCAATACTGATGTGATTCTGCCAATATTTACGATCAGTCACTTGGTCTGGTAGTTGGACTGCTTCCAACTGATTGAAATATGATGCTAATTGAGACCACAGTCCTGGGGTTTGATCTCCAAGTAGACTAGTTAGCTTTGCTCAGTTCCAAGGCCACAGCCTGTACTTTTAGCCCCATGGTATGCATTTGGACTTGGTGAAAAAATATTAATGAATTTGAATACATTACCACCATTACTAAGAGACAACTCAAAACACACACTCTTCGGTAGTATCAGTAACCTTCCTTTTCAGCTTCACCATATCACACCTACCCTCCAGATTAAAAAAATAATTATATACAGAACACATCCTACTTTCTGTTCCCATTCTAAAAGGGGGAAAATCATACACATTCTAAAATTATGTAAAATGAATATCACAAGTCACGGCTTCCCTGGGTCAATCCCTGGGTCAGGAAGATCCCCAGAAGGAAATGGCAACCCACTCCAGTATTCTTGCCTGGAGAGTTCCATGGACAGAGGAGCCTGTCCTCCGTAGACAGAGGCTACAGTCCATGGGGTCCCAAAAGAGCTGGGCATGACTTAGGGACTAAACAACAACAGTATCACAGAGCACATATAAAGAAGGTGAGCTCTCAAAGTCTATTGGACAAACTTTGTCAAAGAAAAAGAGTCAACAGTGTCAAGTTCTATATGCAGTCTTTTCAATTATTACCACTGGGAAATTTTAATGGTACTCAAAAACAAAAAATAATCAATATTACCCCTCTAATTATTTTAGATTACCAAATATTGCCCTATTTGTTCATAGCAACTAATAACCAATAGAACTATACAATATATATAACTTCCAGTAGGCAACAGCTCTTAGGGTTTGTTAAAAAAAAAAATCCACTATTTCATTCCCTACATTTAATTACGATAATCATTTTAAAGGCAAGGTAGACTTTCAAGATTCTGCATCTCAAGATCATGTTCCTTATGACACATAAGCAGCTGCAGCCAGGTCAGAGACAACAGTCAAATTAAGACGGATAGTAAAATAACCAAATTTCAATTCGCTCCTCTTAAAAGCAATGTTTCTCAACCGCTTTTTCATTACCACCATGCCATTGCTCTGAAGAGGGACACACTTTTGCTCATCACCTCCCATATGATTTCAATGTCAGATACACTGTACATCGCTGAGATGACTGGGGTAGCTGTCCTATACTCTTCCTGACAGGCACGACACTACTTTTGGTGTTCCTAAAACTGTATCAATGCCACTCCTGCATTATATGTTACCACCACTATTGTCACAGCAAAAGCCACTTGTTCAAAGTTCCTCTATTGGGGGGAAAAAAAATTCCATTTAGAGAAATATAAGCAAAATATAATTTTGCACTTATAAAATGTTTTCTATACCATGGAAAAGAACACACTAACACACAAAATCCACAAAACAGATAATCTAATATATACCTATCTTTTTAGAAAATATTTCACTTTCTGATTTTGTTTACATTTCAAGCAGATATTAAAATCAGTCTGCAATCCCTGTTAAAAGCTCAACTAATGGTAAGGAAGCCAATTTGGTACTAAAAATATGGCACATAAACCACAAAGTGACCAACAGAATGAACTACTTATAAATAATTAAATAATTAAATAATTAAATAATTAAGAGTTCCAGCTCCCCTCAACATTTCTACCCAAGTTTCTGAATCAGTCTCTACCTACCTCAGTTTCCATCTTACATGCCTTATCTTAGAGGGTTCTCTATTCAATATAAATTTGGTAGAAATAAGATATCACAGATATTTGCCCAACAAAACTTATTTTCCAAAATTAGCCAAACATTGGCTATAGTAGATACACAATAACTAAATGTAAATTATGAGTCATTATAAAAGACAAGAACACTTATAAGGATGTCTAAGTCTGAAACTTCCGAATGAATTTTTTCCCACTACCTACATACATTTTCATTTTAAAGTTTGATTGTCAGATCACTGAATGAGCACTGCTCTCAGCGACGTACCACCAGGTACATCAAAAACTAAATTCTACATGAAGGGTTTTGCTCCCCAAACAAGCAAAATACACACTACTTCAGTGCACCCAGTATAAGCTTTCCTGAAGTTCAGAATTTGGCTTCCCTCTCCTCTTGGAGAAGGAAGTGGCAACCCACTCCAGTGTTCTTGCCTGGAGAATCCCAGGGACGGGGAGCCTGGTGGGCTGCCGTCTATGGGGTCGCACAGAGTCGGAAAGACTGAAGCGACTCAGCAGCAGCAGGAGCAGCTCCACTCGCCGCCAACAAAAATCTTTCACATAAAGATAGACACAAAAGAGTGGTTTCTGTAACACACGACCTGTCAGAGTGTCATATTTCTTACATAATCCCACTACACTGCACTTAGTCTAGACACTATCTAAACTTTGTATCCTTCCTTGTTGGCATATAAAATACTTAAGAAATGTATACTGAACAACTGAGTTAAAAAAAATTTAGTTTAGTTTAGGTCAAAATAAAAGTCTGTAACTATTAAATATGAGGCTAGTAATTACTACCTTCAAGTACAAATTCCAGTTCAAACTGAACTGATACACACTATCAATTCAGTTGATAGTGTGAGACTGAAACCAACAGCTTTCTTTTCAACTCCAGATCCAAGGAGTATAGAGGTTTGGAAGGAGTCCAAATACTTCCACTTGAGCAACTGTTCCCAATTTGGTTCCATCCAAAGATCTTCAATTTAAGAACTAAAGAGCAGCTATAAAGGATAACTGAGGTCCTTGTGCCTTATTCCCTTCTCCAATTTTATTCTCCATTCTAAATTCATCTGGTGAAGAAAGGAGCTGTTCTATAGTATAGCTTCAGTAACTTTTTTCTCACACCATCTCCAAAATAAAGTTTCTAAGACAGTTGAATATCTCACTTTTTGAGACAGGTTTACACTGCTCTTTACCAAAATACACACATGAAATAAACATCATACAAGTATAACTACTTAAAACAGAAAAAATAAAAAACACATATATTACAAAGAATTTCAATGCAATTAAAACTACAGCTCACATTGAAGAGATCTTTTAAATGTTTACAGCAGTTTAGAAGCTGAAATAAAACCTGTTATACTTAGCAAAACACTCTACTTGACTACAACAAAATAAAGTCAGTTTAGCAACCAGTAGAAGTAATGTCACCAGCTAATAAGAATGCAAATTAAATCAACCAACAACAATTTTGTAGTTGCTTCTAATTCTGATAAAAATTTCAGGTAAATATTCCAATACTAGTAACATTTTTAAAAATTAAGAACGAACCTTAAAAAACCATCAACTACCCTTTTATGGCCATAATGTGAACAGGAATTATCAGAGCAAGCAGTAGATTACAAAGGCCAATGATACACAAAATAATAACAAAAACATAGCCTCTATTTAATGCCATTAATTGACTCAAAAGTATAAAGATCCTAGAGGCAAAAAACCATTCAGATACATGTGCAATATAATGCTATAGGTAAAATCCACAAAAAGTTATTTTTAAAAGAACTATATAAAGCAGTTCATCAAGGCTACCAAACTCTAATCTCTTCTTACCTCCTGTTCAGTCAGCACTAGCTGGTGCACAGAGATAAGCAAGTATCACTCCATCCAGCTATACAGATGAGAAAAATGCCCATCCCAAATTAAGTATGCAAAAACCTAAAAAGTATTTCATTAAAAGGCTGTAAACGACGCTCAATTCTAAAATTGTAGTCCAGTTCTTCCTTTACTGTGACCAGAAAGACAAAAGGAAATATATTTTCTTGGAAGAGAACTAATGAAGACTGCCTTGAACATTTGTTTTTTTACTTGCAGATATGGACCTCCTGTAGAGGGAATGTTACACTCATTTGATAAATAAAAGGAAAAGAAATTTCCCAGAGGTCTTTGTTTACTGACCTTAAAAAAGCCTTAGAATCCGACTGTGTTTAGCACTCAAGGTAACTTTCGAAAGTGTCACTGACACAACTTAGGCACAGCAAAAAAAATTTAAGCGCAACACAATAAAGATTTTAAAACTTAACATTTGATAACAATGAGTTATGTTTTAACATACTCTCTTTTTTAATAGAGTAGAAAACATTTAAAGCTAATTGAACTTTTCTTCTAATATTTAAACTTAAGGGCACCATCATCCATCACAAAAAAAAAAAAAAAAAAAAACCCAGATTTCTAGTTTTCCCTATTTAAAAAAATCCTTAACTCCTAGCACAAATAAAATCCTTAATGGAGGGGGAAAAACCCCCACAAAAACACATTAACCAGAATTTTACTAAGCTTCTCACATGGACCTGGACAATGTAAGAAAGCTATTAGGAACACTGCAGTTAAACACAATTTGCTTTTTTTATAAAGACAGCAGATGTGACCAGAATTGCTTACAGCTGAAACGTCACTGCTCTAGTAACAACCTTTTGCAAGGATGCACATCAGACATCATAGCTCCGCGGCTAGTCCTAGGCAACTGTGGCCTGTGAGATACCGGAAAAACCTTGCATTCTCACTTTCTCCAGCCTTTCCAAACCCCTCGGAGAACAGTAAACATTTTGCTTTCGGAAATCGGCAAACAGCTATAACCCTTTATTTTAAAACTAACAAACACCATGTGAATTTCGGGTGGGATTCTTTAATCATTACTCTAATCTCGTCTCTTGGTGAGCTACCATCTTTTTTGTTCCATCCAACCCTCGCGCTTCCAAGTCTTCCTTTTGGCCCGGGCCACCGATCTTCACTGATATTTTCATCACAAAGACCTAGAACGACTGGGCCTCAGAGGCACTGCAAGCCCTCGACCACCGAGGTAGGGGGCCAGTGCACCGACTTTTTAAACACGATCCATGGGTCCGAAAGTCAAAGGACTTGTTGCAAACGTGCCCGCACCGAAGCCTTCTTCCCAAAGAGTGAGAGAAGGAGCGGGATGGCGCCACGCCGAAACCTGTCGCAAACGCGGGCAGGGGAGCTCAGGAAGCTAGGCGCGCGGGATACAAAGGGCCGTGAACGCGGCCTTCCATGAGACGACCGAGCGCCGACAGAGACACAAAATGGAGCGACCGAAGAAATCGGAGCCCGAGCGGCAGGGCCAGGGGCGAGAAGGCCGGCGCGCGCCGCGCCGGGCTTCCTCCTCGATCTAGCCGCGGGGGAGGGGGCGCAGGGGCGGCCCGTTCTCCCCGCAGCGCACACGCCGCCCCGCTGCCCAGGCCTAGCGAGGCGGGAAGCGCTCGCCGGCCTCCACCAACAATGGAGAGCGAGGCGGCGGCGAGGGAGGAGCCGGCGGCGGCTGCACAGGGGCCGGCGTCCGCGCTCGGGGCCCCGCGGAGGGTGGCGGCGCCCGCCGCCCACGAAACGACGCGGTAGAACGAGGGGCGAGGGGGGCGCCGCGCCGGGATCGGGCGGCGCGGCCCATAGGCGCCAAGGGCGCACGGTCTGCAGCCGCGCCGGCTCGTGGCCCGCAGCGGGCCCGAGGTCCGCGTCCCGGCCGCAGCGCCGCCCACTTCGGCGGCGTGAGCCCGGGCCCACACGTACCTGGTTGAACTCTTCGCCCACATCCGCGTAAATGTCTATATGGTCCACACCGTCCGCCATCTTCCCTCGGCCTCGGCCGCCGCCGCCGCCTCCTGCAGGTCCGCCCGCCGCGGCAGCAGCAGCGGATCTAGCGGCGGGGCGGGGCGCGCTGCGTCACTTCCGAGGCCCGAGGGCCGAGGCGGGGGCAGCCGGGGGCGCGGGTCTCCGCCGCCGCCTGCTCGGCGGGCGGAGAAGAGAAACTGCACCTCGGAGGGCGCTGGCGGTTTCTTTTGTGTGTCTGGATGAGGTTGGGGGGGGCGGGGCGGGGGTGGTCCCAGTCGTCTCCAGACAGTTTCCACGTTGTCTTTGGCACACTTAAGCACTTTGCGATATTTTCATTTCTCAGTTTTTCTTACTTTTCTCACAGCCAGGGCTTTTAGGGAGGTGGAAGTTTTATATCTAGATGAAACACCAAAAGTGTAGCGAGATTTTCCTTGAGCGCCTCCAGAGGATGTCTTACCTCTGCATCCTCAAAGACCAGCAGAATTCCGTCTGCCCTGTAAATGCTAGTTACCGGTCGATGGTTTTCTTGAGTTATTTGTATGCTATTTATGTCATTTGCATACCGTATATCTTTCCATCTGGATCTTCTGCATCGTCTCCTTTCATCTCCTCCCCCGGCCCCCTTTTCATCGCCCGTCATCTTTAACCTCCTTTGAGCTGCAGTTGGTTGTTCCTGGGATAGTTTAAATGCCTCAAACTTGAATGCGGTCCCCGTTGGGGCCACCCTATAAAGTAGAGGTATCTTCAAACGAGGGGATATTCTCCTCTCATAGAATGTCAGAGAAGGAAGGGAACTGGAAAAGATGACTTTAGGTCCGGACATCTCATTTTACAGATCAGCAAGGGAACTGAGGCCTAAAGAATCTTAAGTGTCTTAACAGGAGTCACGTGGTTAATAAAGAAAGCATTTGCCAGCCAATGTAGCAGTCTGTCCTGAAAGAGAGTTTCAGTTGCCTGGGGTCAACTGCAGTCCAAAAATGTTCAATGGAAAATTCCAGAAATAGTTCCTAAGTTTTAAGTAGCTGTAGTTTTGAGTAGCATCCAAGAAATCTTTAGCCATCCTACACCAACGAGCCCTGGAAATGAATCATCTTTTTGTCTAGCACCTTTTATACACTACCTGTTAGTCCAGAAAAAAGACTTGGTATATTTAGGTTTGGGTACTACTGCAGTGTCAGACATCCACTAGGGGTCTTGGGTATTCTTAACCACTAGCCACCTGGGAAGCCCCAACTGGGGACTGCTCCACTTTAATTCAAAGGTGTCTCTCCAGTTTGAAACCTCCTATTCTTTCTCATCCTTTTAAAAACCCACCAAGTTAGAGTGTGTTTATAAGATACATCCTACCCAGAAATTACTCATACAATGGTAAGCAAAAGTGATAACTGTACTTGAAATGGTGGAAAACCTTGGTTGAAGTTTTAGAGACGGGTCTGGTGATCTGGATACAAATTTCTAGTGAGTTACTTTACCAGCTAGATGACCTCAGTCAAGATACCTACCCGCTCTCAGGTTCAATCTCAGAAAATCTTTAAAATTGGGGTAGTAATGTTTACCACATCAAGGGTGAAGGTTGATAGTGGTTTAATGTATGAAAAAATGCCTATCCACTTTTGCTTCTTGGAAACACTTGATTTCCTCTTTTTCCAAAAGCCTTTATAGGAATAAAGAACCACTCCTGATAAAAGGCAAGAGCACTTTTTAGACTCGTAATGTGGTAGGTACCATAATGGCCTGTCATAGAGGTCCACATCCCAATTCCTAGAATCTGGGACTCTGTTACCTTACATTCCAAAACAGACTTTGCAGCTATGATCAAGTTACGGACCTTGAAACAAGAACCTTGAATTCTGGATTTCCTGGGGGTGGCCCAAAGGAATCCCAGGAGTCCTTACAAGTGAAAGAGAAAGGCAAAAGTCTGAAGAGACCGTGAGGATGAGAGTAGTTTCTGTTCTTTCAGTAAGCTGAAAAATCATTTCAAGATTCTGACTTCTACTGTTACCTGTGAAACGCCAGCTCTTAGTGTGACTGTTATTTTGAAAGTCGTTGGAGCTCTTTTCCCCTTTAGCTGCTTTAAAGATTTTTTTTCTGTTAGACTTTGGTTTTCCGCCCTTTTACTATGTATGTCTGGAAGTGTATTTCTTTTTATTTATGATGCCTTGAATTCATTGGGCCTTTTGAATATATTGATTGATGCCTTTCCTGAGTTCTGAAACGTTTTCGGATATTACCTATTTAATATTGTTTCTGCCCCACTCTTTCTTCTCTCATATAACTCCACTTAAATATTCGTTAGATCTTTTCTATCCACTATTTCTCTTACCTTCTCTCTTTTATTTTCTACATCTTTATCTCCTTATGCTTCATTTTGAATAGCTTTTTCCTTTTCTTCCGGGTTACTAATTCTTTCTTCCTATGGTGTTAAATTCATCTACTGAACTGTAATTTAGTTTTTAAATTTTTTTTTAAATTTTAGGTTCTTGAACTTCTATTTGATTCTTTTTTTAAACTTAGATTCATTTTAATGGCATCAATTTTTTTTTTTTTTTTTTTTTTTCAAACTGTCAATCTTAGGTTTTATCTCTTTGTGTATAATGGGCATCACTGGTATACGGTTTTGGTCTCTGATAATTCCATTACCTGGAGTCTTGTTGTATCTGTTATTGCTTCATTGTTCTAGTTATTTATTCTTCATTGTGCTGATTCTCACTCATGTTGTCTTGTTACCTGAATGTAAGCTGGGCATCATAATTGAAACATTTGAAGAAATAATGTGAGATGTATATGATTTTCTTCCATGATTGGAAGATAATTTTCATTTTCTTTGAGGAACGGTGCAGCAGCAACAAAGAGGATCACCCTAACCCAGGTGATTGGGGACCTCGGGGAGACTGCTTTAGTTTGGCTGGCCTTACTTCCCAGAGTACTGCCCTTGTGAAGACCAGCCCAAAACGTAGTATACCAAAATCATCACTTTAAATATATGTATATATGTATTTATTTATTTATTTGGCTGCATCAGGTTGGCGCACATAGTTGCAGCCCATCGGCTTAGTTGCTTCATAGCTCGTAGAATCTCAGCTCCTCAAGCGGGGATTAAGCCCTCGTCCCCTGGCCTGCAAGGCAGATCCCCAACCACTGGACACCAGGGAAGTCCCGAAAATCACCCACTGTTGACGGGTCCAGAATTACACTTTCGACAGATCCAAGACTCCATATTTTGTTCTTCTAGTTGTCAAAAGTGGAGTTCAACCTCTCAGTCATCTGTTTTGAATCTAAAAATCCCCCCAGGGGAGAATGAATACATATATATATATATGGCTGAGTTGCTCCTGCCATGCACCTGAAACTATCTCAACATTGTTAACTAGTTATACTCCAATATAAAATTAAAAGTTTTTAAAGATTTTGAAAAAGAAGAAATAAAAGAAAAAAGAAGAAATAAAGAAAAAAAAAGAAACAAAAATTAAGTTAAAATGCCCCCTAAGACAAAATCACTGTGAATATATAGACACTATTCCCTTCTGCTTCTTAGTCAGGTAATTCCTAACTCACTTCTTGGTTAGCTTTTTGATTATTTTATTTTTAAATATAATTTTTATACAGTTTTTTTTCTTAATTTTAATTTTTTTGGCCATGCTGAGTGGCTTGCAGGATCTTAGTTCCCCGATCAGAGATTGAACCCTCGTCCTTGGCAGTGAAAGTGTGGCATCCTAACCACTGAACTGCCAGGGAATTTTCATATACAGCTTTTAAAGGTTACTTCCCATTTACAGTTATTACAAAGCATTGGCTATATTCCCTGTGCTTTAAAATACATCCTCAAGCCTATCTTACACCCAGGAATTTGCATCTCACATTCCCCCAACTTTTTGATGATTTTAAAATGTTGTTCCAGGGTACTTCCTTATTTGGCCACAAAATGGCATTATAGTGAATTACAAAGGAAAATGCATAATAATAATGACAGCAGAGACAAACTCTGTGGCTTATTGAGTATCTTCTACATAACAGTCTCTTTGTTAGGCATCTTACAGTTGTTAATGTACACAGATGAAAGATAGGAGACTTGGGTTCTTATACTGCCTTTACAACTGATTAGCCAAGTAACCTTAGACAAGTCCTTTCCCTCAAATTCTCCATGAAAGTCCCTCTCAGTTCTAAATTTCCATTGCTTAAAGCTACAGAGAATTCTCTGGAAGTTCAAGGTGCCTTGTGGCAATCGTATATTAACTATTGTAGAGGAGTTTCCTACTAGCCCACCTGCATTAGTTTCCTGTTGCTGCTTTCTGTAACAAGTTACCATACATCGAGTGACTTGAAGCAACACAAGTATATTATCTTACAGTTTTGAAGATCAGAAGTCTAAAATGTATCTCACTGGGCTAAAATTAAGGTGTTGGCAGGCCTGCATTCCAGAAGGCTCTAGAGCAGCGTTCCCCAGTCTTTTTGGCATCAGGGACCGGTTTTGTTGAAGACAGTGTGTCTGGTGGGGGTGGGATGGAGATGGCTTCAGGATGATTCAAGCACATTACTTTCATTGTACACTTTATTTCTATTATTATTTCATTGTGAGAATGAAGTAGTATGAGTGAGGGGGAGTGGCTCTAAGTGCAGATGAAGCTTCGCTCACTCTCCCAACTGCTCACCTGCTGGTGTGCAGCCCAATTTCTAACAGGTAACAAGTAACCTGTCTGTTGCCCAGGAGTTGATGTTGCCCAGGAGTTGAGGACCCTGCCTTAGAGGAAAATTCAGTTACTTGCTTGATCCATCTCCTAGAGGCTGCCCACATGCTTTCTTTATGACCCCCTTCCCACAGTCTCATCACTCTAATAATATAAATAATATAACATTGAAATATTTAAGATTAGCAAAGAGATTAGAAGAGAGATCATGTTCTAAGCTTCCCTGTACACCTGTTTTTTNCTCTTTTAACCTCCTTTACTTTTCTAACTCATGCCTGTGTACATGCCACTTCAGTCGTGTCTGACTCTTTTGTGACCCCATGGACTGCAGGCTCCTCTCTCTAGCTCACTCTGTGCTAAAATAAAAAATAATGCTAGAGTCATTAAATCATAAACCCTATGGATGAGACCTTGGAAATCATATAATAAAACCTGCA